TTTCAAGATTTTAAATACAATTGTTGGCATAATGATGCATAGAAGAGAGTTAGTTCAAGTTCTTAAAAGTTATTTTGACTTGTTATTGCTACTGGAATGTATCACATATTGAAAATAAAAGACTTCAAAAAATTAAACTATTTTATCATATTGTCATGATAGCTTTGGTGCAATGAATTCTAAAATTATTCATCTGACAGTATGTTTTATATGTGATAAAATGTGTAATTAATATTAATGGGATAAAGATTTCCAGAATAAGATTAAAGTAAGCTAATTAAGTTAAATTAAAAAATCCTGTTATCCAAAATTGAATTTCAAGTATGAATATGAGGCAGCCCTGGTTGCTTACCTGTGACTATGGATGTTCCTCTTTTTCTCCTTTTCCTAATAACCCTCTTTTAAAATGTTAAAAAAATTTATAAATTTGAAGATATATTTTCTCTTAAAAACATATTTCCAAACTCTGTTAACTAAAACATCCTGAAAACAATGATTAACAAATTTATGAGCACTTTTAATATTAAGATTATGGTTTCTAAGTGCCACTTTCCTCCAAAAGAAACAGAATATTCTTAGAGTAATAGGTGGTATCAAGTTTAAAAGAGGAGGTACATATGATAGCTTATGTAATCTTAAAAAAAAAAGCAATTATTCTATTTTTAAAAAGTTGAGATAATGACAAGAGTTCAAGGGTAACCTTAAAGCATCAAAAGTTAAAAAGCTGGAATATTAATAATAGTAATTAACCTGAGGCACATCAGAAAATTTAAATGCACTACTTCATAATGATTCTCTATTATATTTTGTTCCTTGAAAAAACATCTTGCTGAGATTAAAACTAGTATTACTAGAGGATAGGTAAAAATTATGTATCTTTCTGTAAAACATGAAGATGTTAATAGCTCACAATCATCACATCCATTACGTTCATGGGAAGTCATAATTCAGTGACTCCATGGTGTGCTTATATGATGTAATAATTTCCAAGGTATCTGCAAGTTTCTATTTTAAGATTGTGCATAAATCCTTGAACTTAAAACTCAATGCTCTAGCAGCTCCAATACATGGAACAAAGATTTAATAAATTTGAATGCCAACTCACGTAGTTTTGAACTTACAAAAAATGGAAAGTTATTGAGCAGAAAATAGCTTCAGATAAAGTTATTTCTTTAATTTGAAATTAAGTTATTGACCTTGCACCAGGCTTATCTACAGTCAGTTTGTATAACAAGTATAATTTAGTGTTATACAAATAGTCTTATTTATTGTAGCTCCCAAGGACATCACTGTAAAGAATTGGTATGTATTTACATGTACATGTGTTAGTAAAAGGAATAATTCATTTTTCACATATTCAACTTAAGATAACAGAAAGCAAATATTATTTTTGTTTTCAATCATACACCAGTTCTTGACAATTTGTAATGTTGTGGGAGATTAGAAACCATAAAAAGTGAAAACAACAACAAATCTTTTAAAATGAGATAGCATGGCAGCAAGAAATTCTCAGCACCTCCAAACTGAAATAAAACAGAACTTTGGGAAGTATGCAAGAATAAAAGTAGACAAGATTCAAAGCTATCCTTCACCATAAGAATTTTGCAAAATTCTAGAGTCACTGAGCTTCAGCACTATATCTAAATGGGGCATTAAACAAGCCTCAGACTCTCCAATGTAAGATAAATTAATGGGAGATTCCTACATAATGGTGACAAGGAAAGAATATGTAAAGGGTAAGCAGGAAGAAATAAAATTTTCTGAAAATTTATAACTTGGCCCTTGCAAGGATTTATTTATCTTGTTTCATGCTATTCATGAAAATTTGAAAAACATAAAGATAAGAATTATGTTACTTTGTCAGATGTGACCTAGCAACTGGGCAAGCCAACAAGAATATCTTTGGAAAAACACACTTCAGCACAGTTCTCAAAGAATTCTAAATGGGTAGAGATAAATGAGGACTTTGAAGTTAGCAATCATGTTATACACAAGGAAACAAAAGCATTATGCATGAAGATAACAGAAACAAGACTATAAATTCATATATTAGATCTAGACTATAACATACTTAAACTAGAACAGGAAATGCTGTCTTATAACTGGTTCCTTAGAAAAAGAGCTTGAGATAGAAATTTGGATAATGATGTCTTATTGAAGAACATTTTATTTTCATCAAGAAAATTCTGTGAAAGAGGAAGTAAAGGAATTATGGAAGGGGAAAGAACTTAAGCATGGGTAAAAGTCTTGGGCTTATATATTAAGAATGGTTTCTAGGGCCCTCCCTGGTGGCGCAGCGGGTTAAAGCACTGCACTAAGAAGCTTAAGCCACTTCCGCATGAGTTAAATATCCGCCTGCCCCCGAGGAGATCCACATGGCCAGGCAGACCTTTCCTGACCCACCCACTGCTCCCCTCAGCAGTGTACTTTGTCGATCTGCCTGTTCTGCTTCCCACTCTGTCTCTGGTGAATCCTCTCACCCTCCACACCTCTGGCCTGTACCCCAGTTCTGTATGAATAAATAAATCTAAAAAAAAAGAATGGTTTCTAAAGTCTTAGCTGCATGTATGTGTTGATTCATTTTTTTTCCTTCTACTTTTGTGGAAGTTGTACATTTATTCTTTGTTATTTTAATGATGAACTGGCCTCTTAAACACATATGATTACAAAGTCAATCAGTAGGTTCCTAATACTAGAAAGTATGAGGAACAGGGAAACTCATTCCGTACTATTTGGAGTGGAAACTGGTACTACCACTTTAGAAAAGTATTTGATATTCCATACTAAAGTTGAAAAATACATTTGCCCTATGATCTAAAGTTTTCAGTTATGACTTGGGAAAACTTTTGAATATGTATAATGATGCTAGCAGCAACATTGTTTCATTATTAAACATATGTTTATCAGTAGAAGAATGACTAATAATTATATAATACTAAGCAGCAATGAAAATGAATGAAAAACTATATGCAATAAGTGAAAGCATCACAAAAAATAAGATGGAGAGCAAAAGAAGCAAAATAATATATAGTGTGCTTACATTTATCCAAATCAAACACAGACAAAATTAGATAACATACTTATATGAGTACATCCATAACGTAAAATTTTAAAGAAAGGAAAGTATGATTAACAGAAAACAATTTGATAATTATCTCTGGATTTGGGAAGGGAAGTGAATGAAAGCTGGGAAAAAGAGTGTTTTTAAACTTGAATGTCACATACATAGTGCTATTTAAACTTTCCAATTCCATATATTCACATGCACACACATATAACTTGATATAAGTTTAATATGATTAGCATAAAATATTTCATAATTTAAATTTAAAAGCAATTTTCATTATTCACCAATCTAAGTAATACATGAGAATTTTCCTTCATAATACATTTGTTTTTCACAGATGTTACAATTTGTTATTACCTATTTATTTGGGTGTAATTGTCTGTTTTTCCTACTAAGTTACATTTTCCATGACAGCTGAAACATGTCTGTTTTGTTTACACTCCAACAACTGTGAAGTTGAACAACTATTCCATTCCTTCTTCATGAAGCCACAGGTGGTCACAAACACAGGTTTTGTGGTTTTAGAACTTTTCAATCTATGAAGATGATTTTTGCTGAAAGTTAGAGAGAAAAAATCTTTTCTAAAACAATTATGTATCCATCAAATGAATGAGACAGTATATACAGGTGGGATGTGCTAAGTAAGTACCTGATAAATATATCTGTTCTTAGTGTCAGTATCTAAAATTGTTCTCAGTTAACTCCATTCAAATTTATTTATATACATATATATATATATATACATATATATATATACATATATATGTATATGTATAATTATGTATGAGGTTAGACTATTTTGCTGATTTGTGGATAGTGATTGTGGCATCAACAGCTAAAATCAGGAAGTCCTACTTGGCTGAGTGATAATGTAGCTTTGATAGTGGATTAAAAAGACCCATAGATTTGGGATAGAGGTTAAAATATGGAGTACTCACCTCTTAACTTGATGCCTCAATCACAAGTGTCATGGGGTTATTTATTTCACTACTTTAAAGAGAGTAATATCCACATCAGGGGAAATTACCATTCAAAAAGTGAGAACATGATAATTGGATAAAAGAACATACTTGAAAGTGAATTAGGATGAAAGAGTGGGTGGAGAAGTCAATTTAAAGAGTTTCAACCAACATTTATCATAATAAGATAAAATAGAATAATAAATATCATAAATCAGGCAATTAACTTATAAAACCTTTCTTATTGTTATACGTATCATTTTTTAATTCAGATGTAAGCTGTTGCCTATTCATTTTGAGACTCACTAATTTCATGATGGCAATGTGAATTGATAACCAATGACAATTGTAGGACTCCATTGAAAAGTCAAAAGATGTTTCTCTTTCAGAAATGTTAAAAATTTTCATATTAAAATGAATAAACTAAGGTACATAAACACATAAGTAGAGGACTCTGATGTTCATATATTTTTTAGTGTGAATTGTCATCAAAACCATTTGGAAACTATTGCCCTCAGAACTGTTTTCTGTTCCATAGAAATCACTTGATGGAACATTGAAAAATCATACTTTATCACACTGTTCAAACATACTCCTATTAAAATACTCTTGTCAATTAAAAATGATGTTTCTAAAATTGACACAAGGATTCCATATATATTAGGATTTATCTGTCAAATTTTAAATTAAGGCAACATCAGATATTTCACTGACCATGAAATGTGACACTAAGATTGTGTATGTAATACTTGTACCCGTGAAAAATTTGATCTACCAAACATCAAGACAGAGGTGCCTAGTGATATGCTGGAGCCAAGATTCTTAGAAATTTATAAGTGATTTTTCTGTAGAGTCTAAAATTTACCTCTAGTTATGTGTAATCAGTTTTCAAATACTTGTAATAATTAAAGCATGTATATAAAATTAACCATAGTGCATTTCAGTATTATTTTCAAAAATGATTCTAGAAAACATTATTTTGTTGCTGCAGAGTCAAGTGCTGAAGTTAGCAGATTAATGAACTTGTAAACATCGTGGAAAGAATTGTAGAGAGGAGTTGGAGCAACTCTGATGCCATTTGGTTCCCGCTTGTCACACTGTGGGGGAAAGAAAGCCACATTAATGTTATTATTCTTCACATCATGAAAATTTTCATTCAAGATAAACTTACTTAAAATTTTATGTTGATTTCCCTAAAATGTAATATATTAGCAGTACTTTTTGTTTTCATTTTTGTTAAAGAATGTTGTTTCTATGTATTTTAAAACTATCTTTTTCATAATAACTAAAATATTGGTTGACATATGAGTAACCAAATTTCTTTCCTGAAGTCCACTCAGCAATTATCTTAAAGTATCCAGTCAATCTTATATACAATTTATTTATGGGAGGCTCCTGGAGAGACTGGAACATTTAAACCCTTCATGCATACAAGAACTGTGGTACAGGTCAGAAATGCAGGGGGTGGGGAGGTGAGATGACTCACCAGAGACAAAGTGGGGAATAGAACAGGCAGACTGACAGAGTGACTGAAATACTGCTTAGGGGAGCAGCTGGCAAGACAGGAAAGTTCTGCTATGCCATGTGAGTTAGCTCCCTGGCTGGGAATCAAACTCATGCTGCAGTGACAAAAATTGCTTCATATGCTGTGCTTTAATTCTCTGAACCACCAGGGAGGACCCCTAAAACACTTATAAATGAATGAGACATTCACACATATCTGAAGTATTTTAGCCTCTTTTCATTACATTTAATTGTCTAATATCACATGTAAAGAGTGGGCATTACTCTGGGATTGCTTAAGTATCATATATTGGGTCCAGATAATTTGGCTCTGAAGGTCATTATTTATCTCCTTAAGAAAATCTTATCATAGGCTAGACCATATAATAAATTCCCACAACCATTTAATTCCCACAACAACTCTTTGACTGGTGTTATAATACCCAAAAATTCAGATGAGTGCTCAACTCAATAGAAACTAAGTAACTTTTCTAATAACATTCAGTTTAGAAATGGTAGAGTTTATTTGGTATATTGATATCCTAACTTGTGATTCTAAAATCTCCTATGATTTCCAGCAGGTCCTAAATTATATTATTACCAAAATAGATATATTAATATTATTTCTCCTAAAATTACTCAGTTAACATTTACTAGTTCTCTTCAGGAGATTAAGAAGAATTGTTAGGCCCAAGGATTAGGAAAACAATCAGATACCACCATCTGAAGAGGTGTGAACCTATAGTGTAACCCTCAGGCAGACAGTGCTATAAGCCAACACACTTCAATAAAATATTATAAAATAAAAATAATCAATTAAAAAATCTCATACAATGTGAACATTCCTGAGAGGTGTCCATCTCTCTCTCTCTCTCTTTTTTTTTTTTTCCCTGAAGAAACAAGGTGAAAAATCGCTTAGGTCAATGCAACAAAGACTGATTTATCTTTCCCTTACACTGTATTGATATGTTCTTTAATTTTGTTAATTCAATAAAAGTAAAATGGAATTCTTCTCAGTACTGAAAGCATGCTCCAATTGATTATGGCAATGTGATTTTATTCTGCCCCAATTGTAATGAACAGAGTAAATACATAAAATTTTTTCCTAGAACCAGAATTTGTAGTTTCCACTCTTTTATCAGAAATGATAGATCTTGATTCCCTTCAAATAATACAGTGCAGAAAGCTTAGTTGGAAGTTAACTAATCTGTACTAACTGACTGATTGATGTGAAATAACATGTAAAAGTGAATAAACCGAAGAGGACAAATTTTATACTCAGCACACAACCCATAACATGAATCTGGAAGCCAAGCAGGAGGTATACTTACCACAACTCCTCTTTTTTCTAGTTCTTGGTAAACATTTTTTATAGGAACAGAAAATGTTAATGTTAGCTGGCAGCCACGATCCTCTATATGGGCTGGAGTAATTATGTTCACAAATGGTTTCTTGGTTTCTGCTTTATCTTTACCAAAGTAATGCTTGAGCAAGTATTCCAGATAACCAGTTAGCAAAATAGATTTTCTCCTCAATGCTTTCATAGTTGCTTGCTTAAAGATCTGCAGAGTAAGACACAATTGGATTAACAGTTTCGTGGTGACTTCCAAAGCAACAATTAGCTTAAAACCTGAATAAAAAAGGAAATGGCCATTTTCACCTTCCCAGTAAATATCCTACTAAGGATAATCTCTTTTTTATAAAAACATGTCCTCTTTTAAATATTTGACCATTTCATTAAATGCAAGGTTTCCATGACAAAAAAACTACAAATGTCATTTAAAAAATTCTTGCAAAATGAGGAAATAAGCTTGATATAATTAACATAGGTAACAAATATCTTAACAAATGCATTTAAATATAATGTTCAAACATTTCTCCCAAAATAATTCTATATAATCATAAATAGATGGTTGTTTTCTATTCTGATACATCGATGAGAGCAAGACGCTGTAAATAAGTAGAAAGTAGTATAACCCAAAATATTTATTGTTCTTTTAACAACTCCTAAGTTCTCCCCAGTTTAAACAGTAACAAAACAAGCAGTTAGCGAATAAAGCTACATTTTGTCAGGAAGGGAAACAAATAATACTAGTACTGGTGTGAAAATACTGCCATTTGCTGCCTGTGGTGTCTTATATTAAGATGAGTGACAAGGGCACACGATAACTAGTGTTGGAACATTAGGGGTCAGAACGGACATGTTTTTCCAGCTTATCTCTTAAGGTCAAGTAGAGTTTAAAAATATATCCTACATATAAGAACTGAATGAACTGCAAACGGAGTGTGATGCACTGACATGCACTTAAAGTCCCTTTTTTTCTAGCATGCTATGCCACAGAACAAAGATAGGGTCATTTGGTGATATCTGGACTTGATGAAGTCCCTGAAAATATGATCCTCTGTATGTACACATGGTGAGAATGGGCAGGCATTCTGATAGGATGCAAAACCTTCAGACATAGATTTTCTTGACTTATATTGCATGAAGGCTATGGATTTGGCTAAAGGAGAGGATAGTGTTGCATTGAAGGAAATAATATCTTAGGAAGAGAAAAGAAACAGAAATCCATCTCTCTCTCTCTCCAGCTAGACCTCTATGTCTGGAGTCTGGGAGATTAGCTGCAAGAGGAGGCTGATGTCTTTGTTTAAAAAAGGATCCTAGATTGGCTGTGCAAATGATACTAATTGAAGGCTCAGGTAACACCAGTAACAAGAAGTGTGGCAGGAAATCTCCATATTTCCTGTGTCAAACTAAACGTAAGAGAATCTGACACAACTAGAAATCAAGGGACACAGCAGCCAAGTTTTTGAGTGAAGGGCAGTCTAGGAATGAACATTCTTGCTTAAGGCAGGAGTCGTGCCTGTATTTTGATTGTCAGGTTTAGATAAAACATAGGAGAAGAATATTTCTGATTTTTTCTTTGGTGATTAAAAATAATTCATGGAAATTTTAATAAAAAATTTTATAAAATTCTGGAAGATTTCTGATTCTATTATGATACTACAAGTGATTGGTAAGGAAATGGTGGAAGTATTTACCTTTAATGAGATTTCATTTATATGCCTGGTTAGTATGAACTTGGAAAGTATTACTTAAGTTCATATTTTTTGTTTTAAGGAGACTTTGTTCCTACAGCTGTTCTTTGTATAACTAGAAACCAAGTTTTTAAAATGAGAAATAGTCTCAATTATAATGAACTGTTATTGTTTATTAGTAATGAAATCACTTTTTAAAATAAAGCTATTGCCACATTATAGCCACAGCAAATTGAGCTAATTTCTGGGATATCTTAAATACTTCTCACAGAATGTAAAAGTCTCTGGAGTTCTCTCACAAAATTATAAAAAGGTCTAATAGGAATTAACATGTAAATAAAATAAATGCCTTTCCTTTTTTCTAGTCATTATTTTTATAACTTAAATAATTAAAAATACATTTATTTTTACTTATGCATGCATGCAAGAACTGAAGTGCAAGCCAGAGGTGCAGAGAAGTAAGAGGAGTCATTGAGACAAAGGATAGGGAGCAGAACAGGCGAATCTACTGAAATACACTGCTGAGGGGAGCAGCGGGTGGGTCAGGAGAGGTCTGCTGTGCTATATGGGTCATCTTCTTGGCCTGGATCAAAGTCATGCCTTAATGGCTGCGGACAGCTTGACAGCACTGAGATTTTTAAGCCCTGCACCACCAGGGAAGCCCCGAAAAAGCATACTTTTTAAATTAGAAAAAAAAGAAAAGTGTAGCTTGAAAATATTCAAATTGTAACAGAATTCTTGGCAGAGTTTCAACAAGTTGTTTTATTTTTCCTACTGGGGTAAGATGATTCCAAAACTGGAAAAGTTAAATAAGTTGAAATAAGAAAAATAAGTATAGTATAGTATAGTGCTTTTAATTGTCACATTTTTCTCTCTTAAAGTCTTCAAATTGGTTCTCTAATAACTTTCCGAGGAAACACATAATACATTTCTTCTCACTTGCCATGTATTTTAATTGACTGCTCTAATTTTACATTTTAAAGTTACTCCTTTCATTATAAATTCATTTCCTGAAAGTGTCTAAAAATTACCTACTGATCACTGCATATAAATATGACCCTTCAAAATTCAACATATGTATAATTTAATTTCAACTTTTAGGAATTGCAATATTGAGAACATTTCTGAATCTAGCCCAAGTTTCTTCATTTAAAAAGTGGGGCAAATATAAAGTCATTTGGTGTCCAGGGAAGGGACAAAGGCTTTGCCTCCAGTTTCTTCCCCAGAGCTCTTTCCTTTGATCTACAGTATTAAAAAAAAAAAAAAAAAGTGTAACTAATTAACATAGTTAACAGCCAACAATATAAAGAAAAGGGCAGTTGAAACTGATTGCAAGCAGGGTGATCATTTTTCAGGGTGTCAGTGACTCTACATGTAATTGTAAATAGCCATATTTACTTGAAAAAATCACTTTATTGTAACTCTGATTTCATATTTTCATATGCATTGATTCATTTAAGTTGACTTTTGGACAACATTTTAAAAAAATATTTATTTATTCATGCATACAAGAACTGGGGTACAGGCCAGAGGTGTGGAGAGAGGTGTGTGTGAGAAGATTCACCAGAGAAAGATTGACTGAAATACACTGCAGAGAGGTGCAGCGAGAGGGACAGCATGTCTGCCATGCCATGTGGTTCACCTCCCTGGCCGAGGATCGAATTTGTGCTGCAGTGGCTGCTGAGAGCTTCATAGTACTGCTCTTTAACCCCTTGTGCCACCAGGGAGAGCCCCATGTACACTGATTCTTAAGTAAAGAATCTTTCCTCCAGCTGGTATTTGACATATAGACTTTTTTGAAAGGGAAGTAGAGACAACTAAGAAAGGTAGTATGATTCACATATATATTTCTTATATTTACTCAAACATCAACCTTGATCTCCAGTAGTAACTTTGAAACAAATGAGAGCAAACTCAGAAAAAATCTAGAAAGAAATAATGAATTGTACTATTTTGTATTTTCAGAATTTTACGATTTATAATGGAGAGGAAAACTTTAAAAGAAAAACTTCACATATAACCTCAGCTGTGGATGACATATATCAGGTACACTTCCAAAAGACTAAAAAATAAATACTGGGCCCTTCCTGGTGGTCCCTCCCTGGTGGTGCAGTGGGTTAAAGCACAGCACTAAGAATCTAAAGCCACTTCAGCATGAGTTCGATCCCCACCAGCCCTGGAGGTGACCCACATGGTGTGGCAGACCTCTCCTGACCTGCCCGCTGCTCTCAGCAGTGTACTTTTATCAGTTGGCCTGTTCTGTTCCCAACTCTGTCTCTGGTGAGTCCTCTCACGGTCCTTGAACCTCTGGCCTGAACCCTATTTCTGTATGCATAAGTAAATAAATCCTAAAAAAAAAAAAAGAAAAGAAAAGAAATACTTAAGTGATAGAAGTTCCAGAGAAGTGCATATCCATTTCCTAGTGGCTTTTGGGGTGTTTTTGCTAGGCTGAAGTTTAGATATTAAAGAAAAGGATAAGTCAGCTTTCATATTCCAGCTGAGAATAAAAAACTTTTCTAGCTGTTAAGAGGCTAGTGGTGGTTGGAAAAATAAAGAACACGATTCTTATTTTTGTGTCCACCCACTGAAGGGAACACACCAAAGTGAAAGTGTCTTAGAGAATATTTCCAGATATGACTGAGAAATCAGTTGCAAAGTTAAAGAAAATTGGAAGGAATAAATACAAGTACTAATTTTTCCTAAGGTCTGCCTTGCTGTCTTCCTCCTGTAACTCATCTTCTCCCTGATAGAAACTTGCAAAGTAAGCAAAACTTTAAAAAATGTTTAACAATGTTTCTCTGAAATGCTGTTACAAAAAGATTCAAATATAATTATCTTCCCAAAAGAAACTTTTAGAAAAACAGAACTCTTGCTAGAAATTTTGTTGCTTGATCTATTTTCAACTTTAAAAAGAAAGAAAATAAATAAAACCTGCTAAAAAGTGAAAACAGCACAAGCTCCATCTAGTGGTCAAAATGGGTAGGTGCTCTTTAAACTGGGGTGACTATAAGTTGGTTACTACGAGCTGCTGGTGAATTTGTATAAACACAAAGGAACTTGATACTGACCTCCAGTGGCGAAAGGAAAAATTGCCATGAGTGTTGGCAGAGTCCTAGAATTAAGGTTTAGACGTTTTTGGAAATCTTTCTACAATACACATGCTAAATAAAATAATTTACACAACAGGTTTTCCTAAGATATCATACATTCTGCGATTTTAATATAATTTATATTAAATTATTTGTGTATAGCTGTTAAAAACATGGATATACTTTATTGAAATGTATTTGACAAATGTATTTATATGAAATATATTTCTTAAAATATTATATTTAAATGTATTTTATATAGATTTTGCTCAAGTGCAATTATAGTTTACTGAAATGTACTTATTTAAAGTACATTTGCTTAATATATAAATATAATATGATTAAATTTGTTTACATAAGTAAATTTAGTGTCATCTTGAAATTAACTGATATGTACATAATATTATGCTATAGAGATATAAATGATTAGATAAAGACCTCTATAAGTTCTATCTATCAACAGGTACAAATAGTCTAGAATACCAAGTTGATTTTTTTGGCCATTATTATTTAGGGTCAGATTAGTTTTAAGTTAAAAAAAAAAAACTTAAACAATTTTAAGACAGTAATAATAGAAATTCTATGGGGATTTAATGTCACAGGAACCTCAGTTAAAGAACAAAAATTTACCCTACCTATGTAACAGTCTTATTCGATATTTGATTTTCTATTATTTTTCAGTTATATTTTCTCTGTCATTTAACTCTTCCTACATTTTGTCACGTTTCACTTTGTCAATTTATTGACTCTTTGTAGGAAGAAAGAGTCTAGCACACAGCACATTCTTAACAAATAACTGTTAAATGAATGAGTTAATCAAAAACTAAATACTGAAAGCCTACTTTATAGAGAGAAATACATAAAAGATTGAATACTTTACTCAAATATAAACAATGGAACTACAAATGTCTTTCCAGATCAGTACTACTTAATGCTTATTAAGTACTCATAGTGTCCAGAGTATCATGCCAGGTGCTGAGGATATAACAAAACAGTTTTAATTAACACACAAACACTGTCCTGGGAAAACACAGCCTTCTGCCGGTTGTTTGTATAAGCTCACATGAGTCTTTCTGACTAGTAGAGATAGGACTACTCCATGTCATAATCAGATAAAGATGAGGATAGACTGAAATATAGATTACTTACCTCTAAACTGGCATGCAAGGAACAGACCAACAAAATGGGAGGATTTGAAATTCGAAATCCATTGGCCCCAGGGATTAATTGCAGTTCTGAAAGATTAATATCATGTGATTTTTTATAAAATATGCATAAGACACCCTTGATGAATTTTTGTAAATGATAATACAGTAGGAGAGAGGAAAAACAGTAAGACAATTCTTCTTCCTAAGATTTCTGAGATTTTTAAGAGCAACTTTGGCCTAAAATACCTTCTCTTTACCTGGCTTATTTAACAGTCTATTATGATTATTCATAGTTATATTTTCTCCATAATTTAACTCTTCCTACACTTTTATCACATTTCACTTTGTCAATTCATTGACTCTTTGTATTAGAAGAATGACCATCTCCTCTGTTTCCACCTCCAAAGCAGCCCATCAAACACTGGAGCTTTAAGACACACAATAAAAATGACCTCCCCTTTGGCAAGTTTACCAAATTGTATCTTCATCTTTCCATTCCCAAGCCTGTATCTCTTATTTTTTCGCAACTGTGCTCTGCCTTTTTTTTTTTTTTTCCGTGAAATTTTGTCCAGGAAAGGAAAACATCAAAACCAGAGTGACTTTTTTTTCTTAATAATGTTTCACCAAGGCAGAAATATGAATGAAACTAACTTTAGCACTAAGAGTATTAGGTCAGGGAATAAAAGGCATTAAATAGAATAAGTGGCCTAAATATTGTACACAGATTGTCCCTGAATTATGACAGTTCAATCTACAATTTTTGACTTTAGGATGTTGCTTTCAACTGTGTAGTTTAATGGTGAGAACTCTACCATTCTGTTCTTTATATTCAGTATAGTATTCAATAAATTACATAAGCTATTCAATAGTTCATCATAAAAGTATGGTAATTCTTTAAATCACTAATTCCCAATTGTAGATTAAAGTAAGTGTTTTGGGCATGTTTCAACATAGAGTAGGCTAAAATCTGAGGTTCAGGAGGTAAAGTATACAAAATGCATTTGTATGTTACAGTATTTTCAGTTTATGATTCATTTATATGGATGTAACCCCAGCATACAGTAAGAAAGGTCAATATGAAAAGGCAAATCAATAACATATTTTATCCTAATTGATATTAATTAGGTTGAATAGTAGCAAGTTCAACTCAATTGAGTTAAGATTTCTAGCTAGAGATAAAGCTAAAACTAAGACTGAATAAAAGGTATGCTAATGTTCTGGATGTTTAGAGATTCATTTATTCCGGTCAAATCACTGTCCTATGGTTCTAGTCTGATGCACCACTTATTTTTATGAATAAAGGTTTATTGGAACATAGACACACTTCTTGATTTATGTATATCTAGGGAAGCATTAATACTATGATGACAAAGTTGAATATTTGACACAGAGAAAATATATCTTAGGAAGTTTAAAATATGTTCAGTCTGGCCCTTTGCAGAAAAACTCTTCCCACACCTGATCTACTCATTTCCTCATTTGTAGATAAGAAAAGTGATCCTGAATAAATTAACACTGGCATAATAACAGAACTAATGATGTCAGCATCCAAAAGAAAATCTGCTTTTGGTTGTTTGTGCCTCATTATTGCACATGCAATTATATTTAAAATAACATCCCGGGGATGGAAGCATTCAGAAAGACCAAGTTCATTTGAAATTTTAAAACATTTATGAAGTTTTATGTATCCTATGTGACTGAAGAGCGGACAAAGAAGTAGCAGTCTGGGAGTCCACTGTGCATGGTGTGCTTTATTTATATCCACCAGATTTTAACCAATATTGTGGTACATGATAATAGCCACAAGAAGAGACAAATTTGGGGACAGGCAGGATGAAATTAAATGCTTGTTAAAAAGCATCCTATGTGGCCCTCCCTGCTGGCGCAGCGGGTTAAAGTACAGCACTGAGAAGCTAAAGCCACTTCCGCATGAGTTCGATTCCCCCCTGCCCCGGAGGTGACCACATGGCGTGGCAGACCTCTCCTGACCCGCCCGCTGCTCCCCTCAGCAGTGTACTTCGTCTCTCTGCCTGTTCTGTTCCCCACTCTGTCTCTGGTGAAGCCTCTCGCCGCCCCTGAGCCTCTGGTTTGTACCCCAGCTCTGTATGCACAAATAAATAAATCTTTAAAAAAAAAAAAAAAAAGCATCCTATATGCTACTTTTTTTTAAGGCTTTGAGCTTGCCTTACCTTTAAACGGGTGAAATGGATATTATTCATATTATGCATGTGAGAAACAGGCAGAAAGGAAGATGATGTCATTTGTGTTGCACCACAAAATTTTTAAGTAGCAAAGTGGGATGTACACCTGTATATCTGGGTCTGACTTTAAGTCAGAAATGCTGTCCTGCCATCACTGCTTTATGTTTTGGGGTGCCCATATTGATGAGATCTGAGTCCTATATTTCAGATTTCACTGCCTATTATCTCCTTCCAAAGGGATAGATTTAAAATCATGTTAAAATCTATAGACACTTAGTCTTACACTGTGGAAATGTCATCTCTTATTTTAAAAATCCTCAGTGGCACTTTGAAAGTGCACTCTCTATGAGACATGTATATTATATATCATACAAAGAGAGATGAAAATTGAAATAAAGTTCAAATAAAATGACTTGTGAAGTAAAATTAAATATACTTACTGTTATCCATTTTGAATCTCGTCTTCAGTTCATGGCTAAACCATCCCACTAACCTAAAGCATAAATGACAACATTAGATGTTTTGGACTACAAAATAACCATATTTAACATATGAATCTGGGACCCAAAGACTAAGAACATTTGTGATACGAGTCTACAATTAATCATATAGATCCTTCATTCTACCATAGGAAAGGAATACTTTTTTTTTTTTTTACGACTTATTTATTTATGCTTACAGAACTAGGGTACAGGCCAGAGGTGTGGTGGGTGGTGGAACTAATGCAGAGACAGAGTGGGGAGCAGAACAGGCAGACTGACAAATTACACTGCTGAGGGGAGCAGCGGGTGGGCTAGAAGAGGTAGGTCTGCCATGCCATGTGAGTCAGCTCCCTGGCCACGGATCAAACTCATGCTGCAATGGCTTTGGAGAGCTTCATAATGTGGTGTTTTAACCTGTTGCACCACCAGAGAGAGCCCCATGGGAAGGAATACTTTTAACCTTACCAATAATGAGAATAAAGTCAGTTTATTCATATTACTATTTCTATCATTTTGGTGGAATAAAGTCATCTTTGAATATAAAGGATTCATAAACATTTAAAAATCTATATTAAAAAACAACCAATGATGGAGAGAAATTTCACAGTTTTTCCATCAGAAAATGGGAATTAGTCCCTATGACCAAAAAACATAGATGGACACTTAAAAGAAGAAATGAAAATGTCCTACAAAATTTTCAAAATGCTCATTGTCAGTAATAAAATATATAAAATAATAAAATATTCATTGTCAGTAATGGAAATATATGAAATAGCATAAAAAAGGCAATATTTCATATATCAGCATGGCAAAGTTAGTTAAAAATTATGATGCTTCTTTTTTAAGTACTCAAAAAATGAAATATGTTCTTTGTCCAATGTTTAGAATAAACAGTGATAAAACTTTGTAGAACACAATTTGAAATTATAAATAAACAAATGAAAAATAGGTATAGTTTTCTGATCAAACACTTTTATTCTTTTCAATTTATTCAAAGAACTGCTTGGATTGTTTAAAGATTTATGTACTAGGACAATTATAACAATAAAATGTATAGTGACAAAGCAACCAAAATATCTTTAAGTGAGAATTAACAAAACAACTAAGGAAAAATTTAGTTCTGATATAGCAATAAGCTTGGCAGTAAAGGGGTGAAAACAAACAAAACTCAGGAAGGCATTAGAAAAGAAAATATTCATGAAAATAATTTGGAAGGGAAAAGAAAGCTAATATACAATAAAAGAGGAAGAAGCAGAAAATAGCTGTGAAGAAGAAAAATAGACAGGAAAGATAAAAAAAATTTTGAATACCTTAACTTATTAAATGTAATAAACAAAAAAATTATTTTATAGTTAATGTGAGTTTCCAAAGAAGAAAAGTACATATTGAAGGACTGTTATGAAAGTAATTTATAACAACTAAATAAAAAGTGATTCGTCTATATATTGAAACAATGAAACTAATGCAGAGCTATCAATTTTATTTATGGCTTATTAAAATTATTGGACTTATTTTGAAGAAAAAATTTTGTTTCCAGTTTTTTTTATTTGAAAGGTGAAAACAGAATAAACAACAAAACATTAGACTAGATTAAAATTTATCAAATAGGACCCTCCTTGGTGGCATAGTAGATTAAAGCACAGCACTGGGAAGCTAAAGCCACTTCTGAATGAGTTCGATCACCCCTGGCCCAGGAGGTGACCCACATGGCGCTGTAGACCTCTCCTGACCCGCCCACTGCTCCCCTCAGCAGTGTACTTCATCGATCTGCCTGTTCTGCTCCCCACTTTCTCTGCTGAATACTCTCACCACCCCTGCACCTCTGGCCTGTACCCCAGTTCTACATGCACAAGTAAATAAATCTTTTAAAAAAATTATCAAATATACCCATTCAATGAATGTACATGAAATAATGTGCTAATTCCTATATAATATTAAAAAATATCATACTCATATTTACTTGGCTTAATCAGATTCAAATTGTGTAATATTTACCAGCACTGATTAAACAAATATCAGCTAATATTTTTCCAGTGAATTCATAAAAATCTACCTGTAAGTTGATCTCACAAATGATTGGGGAAAATTATGACAAAAAGACATATGGTGACTATTAAATATATTTAATTATAGGAGTAGGATTAAACAAATGTGGGGATTAAGATGACAGAGAAAAATGAAAAAGTATTCTAGACAAAAATGAAAACTGGCACAAAAGGATATATCAAGTTATTTCACTGATCTTCACTAATCTATATTTGAACTTAAAACAAGCAAGCAAATTATAATCAGATTTAAGAAACAAAGTAAGCATCATCAAGACAATGAAAATCAATGACTAAACCACAAAGTGTAGGCGGAGAGAACAAGAAACCACTAGCTTTATGATTGCACATGGAAGAGAACTATTGAAAGAAAGAAGTAAGATAAAACATTGAATTAAAATCATCTTAAATATCAGAACTATTAACTGAAATGTAATACACACACACACACACACAACAAATCTTATGGTGAACATTTTAAAAAATTCTAGCTACATAAACTATGACATTAAATGAAAATTAATTAAGACCAGACTAAATCTCAAGGAAATAAATGTTAACAGGTTTATTTCACATATTGAAAAGACAAAGTTATAAGACTGTTTGACAAATCAGAGACTCCATTAAGATAAGTGATGAAGAAAGAAATGAAAAGAATGAATGGCAAGAGGTGTAAATGGAAAATGCAAAATAAAGTCAGTATGGATGTAATCTAAAGATGAAATTCAGACTAATAAATATTAAGTGGTATGAAGGATATTTTATAATGTTTATTAGTTAAGACAATTCAAATTATGTAAGTTATAATTTTTAGACTCCACATAACATGCAGCAATATTTATAAAGCAAAATGGCAAAAGAGTAAAAGAAAATGAAAATCCCTTCATCGAAGAGATCTATTAACCTCTTAAGTCTATGCAGAACCAATGAACAAGATACCAGAGTTCAATGCAATTGAAAATACTTAATTATGTATCCTAATATATATATATATATATACCTCTTTAGAAATGATCATAAAATATTGATTAAAACTACAAAAATACCTTTATATTTCTGATAACAATCCAATAAATCTAGCAATTTACAGGAAAACCAAAAAACAAAAAGTCTGTCAAATTTAAATAAAATTCATCCCAAGTTACTTTTGGGATCAGTCTGAATTTGAAGAAAATCTTTAAAAGAATGATAATGAAACATAGTGTATACAAACAAGTTTATAGCTTTAAATTTCAGCTCAATGAAATATTTAAAAATTAAACAAATATACTATAATAAAATAATTTAAATATGAAACATAAATGATATAAATAAAGTGATACAATGGAATTAGTACAGATAAAAGCTAACATTATGGATAGAAAATATCAATTTTGGTGAGGGGGAATATAACAAAAAGTTGAGAAAACACAAGGCAGTAAGGCTATAAAAAATAAAGTATTGGCCCTCCCTGGTGGTGCAGCGGGTTGAAGCACTGCACTAAGAAGCTGAAACCACTTTCGCATGAGTTCGATTCCCACCTGCCC